AAAACATCCAAAAAAAGGACTATAAAAAGTGCTAATCAACTGAAGTGATGTCCAGAAAAAACTTAAGTATATACTGTATATTCCACAATGTTACAATAGTTCTATATCCATGTAATTATCCATAGTGCAGATAAATTCACCTTTTATGGTGTTATCCCCAAATGCTTCAAAATCAAAGAGGCGTTCACCATTTTATCAAATCATGTGCAAGCAACCCACATTTTAACTCCACTCCAACAAAATAAGGTTTTTCCTTATGGAGTGGGCCAAAACTAAAATATTTTAGTATAGTCACACAGGCTTGTGTCATATAAAGGTTTAATCCATTCAGGGATCTTTGGCATAATGGTTTCTGATCCTTAATAGGGCTCAAATATAAAGTGGAAATGGACACATCACATAAAACCATAAAAGACAACTTTATTATAAAAACACACTCATATGTATAAATGCACATACCGTTTGCACACCAGTTCTATCTTAGCTTGTAGGGATATAGCCAGCCACTGAGAGTGAGAGTGGTAAGCTTGGCTTATTTTTTATTTTTTTCAAGGTAATTTGTAGGCACTTTTCATATTGGATTATACTTTACATCAATATTTAAACATGAAATCCATGACTTATATTTTAAATAGCAAGAATTTTTATTATCAACCCTAAACTTAACTTGTGGCATGTCTGGTATACTACAAAGGGAAAAACACAATACTCTGGCATTATTAAAGGAGCCCTGTTATATTGTATCAACAGTAAAATATAAAACAATCAGACATTAGTTATCAAACATATCTAACATTATATACACTTGCCAGTTACTGACCTATCTGCCTGTGTGAAATCTGCAATTACAGTTTAAAAATGTGTTTTGGGGTATAAGGTCCAAATGCATATTAAGTGATACAGAATACATTTAAACCTCTTTCTATACAAATATAATTTTGTATGAAATGTTCTGTCGTCTATGGCACCATGCTGACTAATCAGGATATTTTGTTCTCTGAACATGATCATGATCTCTGCAAGCTATGACAAATATACTACCTATGTCAGAGGATGAGCAATAAACATTACATAGCAACATTTAGTTAGTGTAAATGTAAGGATAATAATAAGGGTCATTAAAAAATGCACCCTTGTTATTTTTAAAATCTTATGTCCAAAGTGTTGGCTTGACATTTTCCAGAATGGGGGTGGTTATAGAGTTTCACCACGGGTTTCTATAGTTTAGGTCTAATTTTCAATGAATATCTTATTCAAACATTTGGGGTAGAAGAGATATAATTATCTATGTGCTTCCACTGCTGCAATCTGAAGCTGTCTGGAAGTCCCTAGCCTAAATCTTCTGCTTCCAGTTCTTTCTGATTATAGAGAACTAAAGATAATTACCTTTGGAAGCCCCTGGAACCGCAGTGCAGTGTAGCATAGAGTAATATTAGTATTTGTATCCCTTTACCCCTCCCAAAAATAGAATTGAAAACAAATATTTGCTTAAATTTTTTTTAATTTTTTTGTGGGGAAACACATGTCAACTATACAAGACAAATAAGGGAAATTACGACAGGACTGTTGCCACCTATTAAAAATGACACAGTAAGCAGTGGGTAGCACTTTAACAATCAAAGGTGTGTTTACAATGGGATTAAACAGTGTCAGATATCAGAAAATGAAAATATCCAAGAGCCAGTCATGTTTGCTCTTATGACTGGTGTCTTAAATTGCATTGAAATATTTATGAAGACACACTCAGCCTCAAAACTGACATGCCTTGCTATGTATATTTCTAGTGACATTGTACAATATTTTCTTTAACTTCAAGTTTCATTTTGGAATGTAATGTAGGAAATAACTAAACTATGTCAATGATATTGCAAAGTGCTCCCATTTATAATTATTTATATTGTAAATAGCTTTCTGATGTCAATTTCAAGTTCATTGTGAATAATATGTATTTATTATGTGAAGATTTTTTTCTTTGGCTTTGAAATACAGTTAAAAAATCTTATTTAGAGTGGATTTGTGTTTTTTTTCTCATTTTTGTTTGAACACATACCTAACCTTTTTATTAATGAACCCACATATTAAACTTCAAAAATATTTTAGTGTAGCATTTTTATCCTTCTTCAAAATACCTTTTACTTTCTATTTAGTTTATGATTCTGAGATATTATAATAAGGTAATGCCAGGATCTAACAATCCCACATGCTACTTGACTATGGCTTTGGTGTGAGAGGCAAACTGACTTAATATGAATTGATTTATAGCATACTAATGCTATATTAACTGTACCATGGGTACTAGGCTCTTTTTAAATACAGAGGCCCCCATCAGTTTAGTAAGAAAAAGCATAAGGAATAGCTTATAAAAAAAGTTATAAAGACCTTCAAAGCTATAAATTGATTAGTTATGAATAGAATAGAAGTGCAGAATGTTTTAGTATGTCTATGGGTGATCCCTGGAGTCTGGGGCCCTTGACAACTTCCCATTCTGCTCTTAATATAATGAACCACTGCTGATAGCAGTCAAGATGGTTACCCACTTTACATGTGTTTGTGATCTCTATGAATCATTCTCTGTTGTGAATACTGGAGCAGTAAATACACTAGAACTTAAGTTTCACAGAAAAATAAAAGCATAGAAGAGTGATAGCAAAAATAGTCCAAGTGCTCCATCAAGTCTGCCCCTTTTTCTTTACCTAATGTTTTTTTCCCTTTTTTTGTTTCTCACAAGCACATGTTAACCATGGGAGTGTGTACTACTGTGTACTTGTGCTTAAAATTGAAAGCGCTTCCAAGCTTGCCATAAGAAACAGTTGTGTTTTGCAGCACCAGTTCCTTTTTGAGGGGTTTGAGCCTCTTTTGGTTTACATCCACCCTGGGCAAACCATCGAAGGTAACGTTTTATGTCCTTCTGTAGCATCAATACTAAGATACATTACTATGGCTTTAAATAATTCCACAGCTGTAATCACTTGTAAATGTAAAAATGAAAATAGCAGGTATGAGGATTTGCATTATGTATCTAAATATATTTTAGCAGCTGTACAGCTAAACTGAATAGGTGGATGGCTGAGTATTGCAGCATAGAAAATGTTTTGCTTTGGAGGAGATTTGAGGTAGTGAATAAGATTGTTGTGTATATATACCTTATGAGATTGGTGTATATATTCGTATCTAAATAAATAACTAGAACAGAGCCATAAAAGCAAACATATTGTATGTTATAGAAAATATATTCAACATACAAAAGGCCTTCCCGTAATTTAACTTTATTTATTATACCTGATCCTTTTGTTATCTATCTATTATCTAACTATCTGTCTATTTATTAGGATTGTTTCCCTGATCTATAAATAGGATTATTCATCAAAATGATTTCTCTATTTACTTGCTTAATAAAAAAATGCCACATTTAGTTTTGGCAGCTTTATAACAGGAACTTTTATTGCATAGTTGAAATGGGTTCCTGTGGTATATCAATTTCTATGAAATGCAGTAAAATGCTTTTAATGAAAGTAAAATGAAGGGCAGATTATAACTCTGATCAGCAATATGTGGCCAAACAGAGAAATAGCTATTTCATTGTGTATTGATTTTTAACCTCTAGAGAAATAGATAGCAGCAATTTAGTTTAAGGGAAAATAAATCAAACAAAAGTACTTTCAGAAGTGTAAAAAACCCAACACCAGCAAATAATCATACAACTAACTAAATGTACATTTTTTTCCAAACTGATATGGTCTTTTAGATTAGAGGCACTGTAACCTGGATACTTGTGTTCTCTGGTTTCACAAATCCATACAAAGACTCAAGGCCGTTAATATTGCATTACCTATGATACAGATAGTCCAAATGAATAAAGAACAGCTTCCTACCATTTGCCAAGAACTATCCTACTGCAGAACTCTGTCATAAGATCACATCCCTATTTCAATGCAAACCCTTAGGCTTTGTTAACAACTATAAACTAGAAAGGCTTTTAGGGCTTTTAAAGTGTACTCATGGACATATTGATTAAAACTCACATTTTATTTCTATCAAACTAAAATAGTTACATAGTGTACCTGTGTGTACATCAATACAAACATAAGAGCTAATAACAGTTCAAAATTAAAAAGTAATTTTTAAAGTAAAAGTAAAATTAAAAAGTACAGGCCACGTCTATAATGGCAAAGGCGTCCGCACATGTACCCAAGAAATTGTATGTGATCATATCAGATGTCCATAATGAGGTTTAGATACAATTGTTACATTCGCAGCTTGCAGCTTGGACCATATCTTGTCGGTGGATGGAGGAGGTGTTGTGCACTCTTGACACGTTTCGCCCTCAGTAAAGGGGCTTCCTCAGGAGTATAGCGTGGTAAGAACACTTTAAAACAA